CGTTCTCCGTAAACTTTGCCGATAAAATCGTCGAATCGTGGATAAACGAGTTGGAATCGGTGCCAGAGCTGTTTATATCGGTCTCGCGCGTACCCGCGATCGCGAGTAGATCGAGACACGCGTGGTCGGACGGTGCGCGCTTCACGACGTTTGATCCGCGCGAGGAAATTTTTCACGGCAGCGACGGCGGAACCGAGATAGGCGGATATCGCTATCCACGACATTTATCGGGAAAAGTCGAATCCCCGTTTAATCGTTTATTAGATCGTCGCGAATTAGCGGTTGTCAATGGACGCGGTAAGAGACGGGATTTATCGGTACGAACATCAAACGTGCATCGAGCTCGTTTATCGAGCACGGGAAATCTAGGTACGCGCGTGTACGCGAGATAAAAGCGCCAGCGATATCGCGCTTGCAAATGTAAACGAGGTCGATGATCCGTGATCGGTCACCATTTATCTATCAATAGCCACGGCGGATCATAAGCGGCGGTTTCGTTGCAGCGACGTCCTTTCGAGTTATCGTTGAATCTCCATCGCTCCGGTAGAATTCGCCGACCAATTGTGGTCAGATCGCACTCTCCATATATATATATATATATATATATGTGCGGTCGCATTCGGCCGAACGTCTCGATCGCTGTCTTTGTCCACTCGGGATTAAAGCGGTTGTCGAAATTATCGCGAAAATTAACGAGAGAATTAGCGCGACGATTAAAATTATAACGTCGGGTCACGGTTCGAAGCGCGTATTACGCGGGAATATAGGTATATACGTTCCCCCGATGGAAGATAACGACGGCGTCGGATGGAATCGCACTCGAGTCTAGTTTCGTCGACTGGATTCGTCAGTTAAACGCGGTAGTGGAGAAACGTATGCGGTCAGACCGTGGTGATTACTCGATCATTGTGCCTGACAGTGGTCGTCGTACGGATATAGTCAGACGATCTCGCGAAATGGGAAGCGGTTTCGCGCGACTCGAGATATTCCATCGATTAATCGATCGAGATCGATATTCGATAGACTGATTGCACGCCACCTTTTCGACCAAGCGTCGAAAAATCGGGAAACGATTTAAGGTGTCGCGTTTGAACGGAGATACTCCCCTTCGTTCCTCGTTCACGATCCAACCGGCGAGAAACAGCCTCCGATTGTTCGTTTTACGGAAACGGAAAAAAGTAAAAAGGGGAACAGAGAGAAAGTAAGAAAGAAAGAAAGAAACAAAAGAAAAGAAAAAAAAAAATGGGGGATGAAAAAGGAAACGACAGAGTTTGAAAGAAAAGAGAGATTGCGCGGAAGATTGGTTTTTTTTTGGTTAAACGATAGCAAACGTCGTGATAAGTGTTAATCGCGAAACGGACATTCCGTAACAATAGGCCGTAATAACGGATGGTACGGTTTGCCGGTTCGTTCGTGGCGTTGCACGTACGAGAAGTCCGCCGGTGTGTCGCGTAACAGCATGGACAATGGCGCGATAATTCGAGCCGGTGAAACGTGCATCCGACCTGTCACGACACACGTAACGTCGTACACGTAAGTCGACCACAGTGTCAGCGGGAAAACAGGTCAATCGACTTCTCGATCGAGAACGGTTTCGACGGGTTGCGACGTCTCGTCTAGTTAAGCATCGCGGTGATTTGCACCTTCGACAATGCGAAGCACCGGCTTCCGCGGTCGAGCGTCAGCACAGGGAGTTTTCGATTTCTCTCTAATTCCTGCAGACGCGTCTGTCTATTCATTTACAAATTACCGTGGCGCACCAAATTATCGCGCCACTGAGCCACGATATAACGCAAGAATATCGCGGGAGGGTGGAAATAAGGGATGGCGAACGGGCGGCGCGATGGAAGGACGGGCACGCGTAGGTTAATCGTCGGTTCGTCGGGGTACGATCGCTCTCGGTCGAGGTCAGGCAGAGGGGAGAAACAACGAAGGAGTCGCGGTTGAACCACCCCCCGTTCCTCCCGCGTGCCAGGATACTCGACGGAGCAGCACCTGACGTCAGCGCGATCGGTACTTCCGTCGGGTGGGTAGGAGCCGGAAACCGTTCGCAGGTGTGCGTCCGTATGCTCCAAGTTTACCGCACAATCCGGCAATTCATCGCGAGAAGTAATTAAAGTTTGTATGCGAGTTTGATGATCCTTGCTCCGTTTCGCGTTGTCTCGCGTGTATATACACGCGCGATCGATTAAGCGATCGCAGTGGCGTAGACGCGGAACCCTCGAATTATCGAGTTCCAACCAGAGGGTAGCTACCAGAGCCGGAGTTTCGAGCAGGTTTGTCGGCGGGAAACGACGAAAGAAGGAAGAAAACGAGGCGGAGACGAATGGTCGAGAAGAGGGAGGAGGAAGACGGACACGCGTTGCTCGAACGATCGGTGAAGCGGAAGAGGTCGAGCATGGGAAGGAAGAGAAATGGAAGGGGCGGTGGAGGGAGGGTGGGCAAGATAGAAGACAGTTTAATAGCGACGGCAGCGTAATATGGCGTCGCGAGCGTTTAAGGGATTGCAGCCGGGGGATGCGTTTGCGTGTTCGTGTCAACGATCCTACACGGTTAAGCGGAAATGCCAAGTGGCGCACTCTCGTTAGCCGATGCGTCTGACGGCGAGTGCGCGTTTACGCTGGTTATGACGTTTGATCTTCGGACGAGGGTTCCTCGAGTTCCACCGGTGTTTCGTCGACGCGTCGTTGCTGCTGCTGCTGCTGCTCCTTGTCCGCGCTTTTCCCTCGTATCGCTTCCCCGCCGACGACCACGCGAGTACATCTCCTTCGGAACACGGGCGCGGGGGTTCAATTCGCGCTAGGAATTGCACCGGGGCAATTAACCTCTCTCGAAACGTCCCGCTGTATTTTTACTCCGCGCGGGTAGAGCCGTGACCGGGGTAGGAGACAATTACATTCCTGAATGCGCAAGTAGTCTCTTTTTAATCCTGGCACGCGTTTAATAAGCGCGGTATTATCCGTCCTGTCAGCCGGGAAAGGTGGTTAACGTTGCTGCTCGGAATAACTTGTTCCACGCTGCCCGTAAAAATCTTAAAAACTTCTCGCGACGACGGCTAAAGCCTTTATCTCGAGACCAAAAAGCTCGCCTCGTGCCAGCGCGCACGCGCGCGTCGCTCGAGCAAAGTGTGACGCGAAAATTAGCGAAACCCCGAAACGATTAAATCGTTGGGGTATAACCGAAGGCAGATTCCATCTCCGAGGTCTCGAAAGCCAACTGTTCGAACCGAGCGGAGAAAACGATGCCCGAATAATTTGGATACTTTCCAATTAAGCAGCTTGTCCGAATTTGCATTTCATAAGCGACGTTCGTTTACCCCGTGACGTCGGAACACATTAATTAGAGATAGACCGTGTCGTAAGTGTATATTGCGCAGACGATGCTGTTCTCGTAGCCCCGATCCTACTCGCGTATCCTGTATAACTCCATTTATGCATGTACACACAGCTGTACCAATGCATGGGTAATAAGGGGATTGATCGACAGCCATCTTGAAACTCGTACTATCCACTCGAGAAAGCAAGCCGTGCAACGTTATTACCTCCTCGAGTCTCGAAAGGAGCTATACACCGTGGATTCTTCCTTTCTCTCACGGGTTATAGCGAACACCGGGGTACAAAACGATCGAGAAGAACTCGCTCCTCGGGCGAATTAACGACGCTTCGCGATGATCGCGCGACACATGCGACATATGCGTCGCGTACGCATACGTAAATCGCGGCAATTCGTGGCAATTGGCGCGAATTTCATTTCGATTCCGGTACACGGCGCCGCGGCCCGATCTAAGTGAAATTTATTCCGCTCGTATTTTTTGAAATTTCCCGTTCACCGTTCCCGTCCGCGACGCAGATTAAATATTAATATCGAATCCGGTGCTCCCGCGTGTCGAATATCAGCGCGCAGCCTCCGGAGGAAGACATTTCCAAAGTTTTTATCGCGCGTTCGAGTAGCTGTACGAGTAGCTCTGTACGAGTAACGAGTACGAACGGAGCGGTTGAATGACTCGCGGAGAGAATAAAAAGCAGTCTCTCTCTCGGCTTTACGTGTTTCCCACGCGAGGAAATAAGACTTTTTACGAGACGCGATGATATCGAACCGGGAGAGTCGGAGGCCCCGTATTACGCCGTGGTTGCCCGCGCTTCGATCGAGGGTCATTCGCGCCTTCGAAACCGAGATTCCGCGGGTTCGTTTCCCGTTCGTTTACAGCACGCGTGGCATTCGTCCTCGGCTCGAAATTACCCGCTCGACGCTCTCGCCACCGCGGACACGGCCGCCATTTTCTAATCACCGCGGAGCCCGCGTTACCATCCGTTTTATCGGCCATTTTATCGCCCACGATGGACTAGATCATTCAGCAGTCGATCCTGAACGGAGCGAAGAACCTTCTAAAAAATGAGGCTTCGCGCGAAGACAGAGCAGAGTGACAAAGCGTGTTCGGACGTTGGCAAAAAGACGGCGCTTCTTCTCCTACGCGTTGGCGAAGAGGTATTTTCGGACCGGCCGTGATCCTCGTTTTACGGGGCGCTTCGTAAAAGCGATATTTACGAGGATCGAATCGAATGACGAGGACGGAACCGGAGTATAAAGAACGGGACACAAAGGCGATTCGCGGATGAACGAAATCCCACTTTCGTTTTGGTTTTTCGCGCGTAGGATCGCTGGGAAATCCGCTGGCAAACCGCGAGTAGGCGGTTTCGCGACGGTCGTGGAAATTGCAGGCATGTCCGTTGTCTCGCGTAATCACCGGGTTTTCCACCTTTTCTTTTTTTTTTGTTTTCCAGCCAAGCGTCCGTCTCGCTAGAACAAAGGTATTTCACGCTGGTACTTGCCGCGTGGTCGGGGTATCGGATGAACTCGATTTTTAAGCAAGGCGCGATTTTTTTCGCGATCCATTACGATCGAACGGGAACGATAACGATCGTTTCGGCGGACGCGCGGAGGAGGCCAGGGGTGCGGGGAGATTTGAAAGATATCTCTCGTAAATAACGATGATGGCTTACCTGTAGAGAGGTTCGCCGCTGTCCTCTTTGAACCAGAGCACCATAGAGACGGCGTCGTTTGGCTCACGGGGTTGTATATTACAGGGCAAAGTTGCTCTCTGTCCTGCCACTCCCTGTATCGACTCCATGGGTACTGTAACACAGTGACAGCTCGTTGAAATCTCTTTTTTTTCACCCCCCTCTCTCTTCCCGTATACCAGCATACATGGAACGAGGAGACCAACGAAGAGTTACGACGCGACGCGGATGCGAAAATCACGCGATTTTTCGAAAAAAGGGCAGCTACGAATACGGAAATGGTCGGGACGGTAACGGGCGGATAAGCGGCGGGGGTCGATGAATCGGAGAAAGGGGACGGGGAGAAAGTGGAAAGCTCGGAGCAAGGACGGAGACGATCCGCGAGAAGGAAAGTTTTGGGTTAGTCGCGCTTTTACGCGAGGAAACTCGTAATTAATTCTGCTTGGGTTTTTGTTCGTGGAACGAAACGTATCGACGTTTCGTTTAAAAACCTTTTATCGAGACGGCCGGGGCCGAGCCTCGAGCACCTTTGGAATTAAGAATTACGACGAGCCTCGGAGTTATGGATATTTTCCCGAAAAAGAGAAATCCCTCGCGATCCATTATCACGGAATGGAAAGTATCGACGGTTACGTTAATAGGCTGGAAATAATTTATCGCTTTCGCGTATTCGGTCTTTACCATATTCGAGACGGTGCGATGCTGTCTATGGTACGACGCAACGTGAAATATACTACTCGAACACTCGGCTAGAAATTGCGCGTACACGTACGGGTCGTTAAATCTCTTTTGGCGTTAAACCGACAGCGAAAAATCGCGCGCGAGATAAATTACTCTTTAAATCGTGGAATATTTCGTAGCACGAGCAAGTGGTCGCGTGGTTGCTTCGTAAGCGAACCGAAATGGTCCCGTCTTTGTGCGCGAAAATATTTTCGGCTCGCACGGGCGTAAATAAGTCGCGAAAGATGAACCGAATAGACGGCTCGCGGTCTAAACGAAATGGAGGTAGAGAGAGAGAGAGAGAGAGGTTAATATATTACAATAGACTCGTGGGTACAGCGGTACGCGAGACGTATATAAATTTCGATGACGAAAAGAACGCGAGCAATAAACCGTACTCGCGCGTAAAGCAAATCGGTTGTCGGTCGTTCGACGCAAAGTGGGTACTTAAGCACGGTTCACGACACTCACTGTTCCGTCCCTCGGCACCACCGACGAGCACTTCCGGCAATAATGCAGATTTTTATCGGGCAACTTGGTCCCGACGTCGTTGCCGTCACAAGGTTCATGAATAATCCTTCCGCATTCGGTTTTGCGAGTTTTTCGAGAAGGAAGGTCTCGCCCGCTCCGGTTGAAATACCTCCGATTCGTCGGCGCGCGCTCGCCCCCGCCTCGCTGGTAATTAGCCGCGCATTAATCGCTTAAGGACGACTCGTAAATTAACGTCGATGACTCGCGAATATTTACGATCGAGCTTCCGCGGGAAACACTCGCTTGGCCCGTGTTATTTATCGTGCTGCATCCCAGCGGCAGCCATTCCTCGTTCGGGATCTCGTCGTGACGTCCGGTATATTTTCTCCGTCGTATCGAGACGTATAACCACCGTACGCCATCCGAGTGTTTCTAAGCGATACGGATTCCGCGCGACGCGCGACCACGCGGAATGAGTTCTGCGAGAAAATGGCATCGCCGTGGCGAAGTTTGTCGGTGAAATTCGTTTAAGTCGATGTCGACCGGGGTATTCGTCGACGTCGACGGGACGTTTCGAGTCTCTATGCATTTTGGCGCGGAAACACGTATCGCATTTACGTCCGCGTTACAACGACTTTATGCAAGTACGTGCTTCCGCGAACCGTTGCGCGGTAATGCGAAAATTCGTTTTGCCCGCTGGCATCGCGGAAGAACCAGCGTCGCGTTAGCTTTTCTTCCGGCTAACTACGCGTTGGAAATTCGCGCGGCGAGAATTGGGCAACGACGTCGAAATTGTTTCGCAGAGACGTCGACGACCCGTTAAATTCCTCCGCGATCGATGCTCGAGGACGATCGAGTCGTTTCCGAGTCGCGCGGATAACGAGGTGATTCGTTGAACGTTGAGGATATCGTTAAAACCGTCGAATCGAGGATGGAACGCCTTTGTCCGAGGCTCTCCGATCCTTCCTTCATCGACGAAATGCGCGTTTGTCGCGTGTATCGCCCGTCCTCCCGACTATGCCTCTTAAAACGTCCCCGTGAATTTAAAGTACGCGATAACAGAATGGTCGATTAATTAGGAATTTCCGTCCGTTCGCTGTTGCTCGCTGGCCAGTATACCATGCTCGAGAACTAATTAACGTAGATCGAAAACTTAGGCAAAGCGATCTTGTATCGTATACGAGCACTTTTCCCGACTCGGAATTTAATTTAAATTCTTTAGAAAACAATGATGTCACGCAGCACCGTCAAGCGGTCATATAATAAACCGAGTCTGCTTCTGACACTTCTGTTGATGAGTATAATTACCGCGACGCTAAACTCGGACCAGAATTTTGAGGCAACCTCTCTCTCCTCTGTTCGCTGGCCCCCCTGTCTCTTCTCCGTCCCTTTGGCCCACGTTTTCATTCTCTCGTCGCCCAATCTGTCCCCTATTCGCTAAATTTTTCTTACGCCGCTGCCTTTCTTCCTTTCTTCCTTTCTTTCTTCCCACTATGTTCCACTTTCGCCACCGATTTTCCCTCCCTATTCCCGCTCATTTTTCTCCCGCGGTCGATTCGCGTTAATCGAGTTAGAAATCGCTCTCCGACCCCTTTACCCTGCCTACGCGCCAGCGTTTCTCTTCGGGTATTCGGCCTTTTTCAGCGAGGAGGAAAGGGGGCAGAGGGGGCGCACGCGATCGGAAAAGCCGCCGTGCCGTAATGCTTTTCCGCGGGAGAACGACGACAGTCGATCCTTTCAGCCGGAAATAATTTGGCTGGCTGAAGAGCGGAGGAATAAGCGAAGAATGATTTCCAAGACTGGCGAAATTCCGTATTTAGCGGATGATGCCTTGCACTCGGTAGCGAGGCTGGCCAAAAAGAATAGGCCAAGCAGAATATCTTTCTGGTTCTTTATGTCCGGTCGCCGAGATGGAATACCGGGCCGGCGGAAAACGGGTCGTAAAGGTTTCGGTGCAGCTGGCTCTCGCATACATTACGAGCCTTTATTCCACGGGAAAGGAAAATGGAACGGCCGAGGGGGAGTGAAAGTTTTGAAAGATGGCTGGATGGGAAATCTAGCAGCGGGAAGGATGAATCGGTTCGCGGTAGCTCGACAAAGAGTACGACTATGGACGGTGGGTAGCGCGCAGCTCTGCTTAGACGGTAGCCTAACTAGTCGTGGTTCGAATCGCCTTCCGACCCTTCCAATGCAACGGATCCTTCGGCCGAAGAAAGGTTCGATCTGCCCGACGAGAAGAAAGCGGTGGAAAGTCGATTGGCCACGGCCTTAAATCGCGCAATCGACAAACCCAATGGCGCGAGTCGACGTCGGCCAAGGAGGAAATTAAAACGCGCATATTCAAGGGCGACGTCGAACCATCAATGATTAAAGGCGAATCCTCTATCTCTTTCTCTCTCTCTCTCTCTGGTATTTCTTGCTCTCGCGAATAAGATATTCCGCGCGCACTTGTCCGCGATCGACGCGAACGATTGCATAATTGCGACGGGTATTCGTTACGTGCATTGTCGTCGAGCGTTCGTTTGGTTTCTTTCGGTAAAATCGGCGGGCCCCGCGGACGGGAAAGCTTGCGCAATTCCTGCGAGTGGATTCAACCGCGAGTGCTGCGTGGCTATTATTCCGTGCCGCACTCGAATTTCTCTCGAGCGTCGAAACTTTTTCCTCCGTTACGAAATGCGCCGGAATACGCGGTACATTTTCGTAACTCGGGAATAAACAGGTAGCAACGTTGCGCTTGTTACGATCGCGCTTAAACGAGACGTAAGTGGCGTATATAAAAGCGGCGAACGCGTTTGATATTTCCAATTCCGTTTCGCATTTCCGACACGCCAGATAGTCGCGATTTTTCTCCGCGTCGGCGTTTCTTCTCTTTTCTTTTTCCTGCAGAAACGGGATAATCGGGGAGAACGTTGCGGTGGTGGTCTTGGTCTTGGATTATTGACCAGCTTCCAAAGTAGAGAGTCCTTTGTCTCTGTCGCGTTTGATTGTAAGCGGAACGAAGCGACGCTTTACTCGGTTAAAGTAGTAGCGGAGCCAACGACATGGCTGCGCGACTTTTACGCGATTAGGCGTTTTTCGTTTACCCTCTGCAGAGAGATCAGAGACGCGGAAGGGAAAAAGCGAGGCCGGGATTTATTTGAAGAAGCGGCGCGTGCCGTGGTAAACGACGCGACGGACGAGAAGAAAATTCGAAATTAGCCATTGCCGAGAGGATGGCGAAATGGTCTTGAAACTATCGCTTCGATAGCCTCGAATCGTCTATACGGTGCCATCATTGTCCATGGCAACCCGTGTCCGGAGCGTTCTCGCGCAACAGAGAACGAAGCTGACGGCAGAGTAATTCGCAAACAATCGTATGCGGCTACTGTTACCGCGTGTTCACCTTTTAACCGCGTTACGCGACTTCAATTTGGACAGACGCTGGGGGAACGGTTGATTTTACACGGATCGAAATCTGCACAAAGTGCACCGGCAAAGCGTCGCGTGTACACAAACTCGCTGTTTACCTTCGAGTTTACGACAGGGGCCTGTAAACGCTATACGCTTCGAGTATATACGCGGCTTAATTTTATAACGTTGTTTATGACCGAGAACGAATTCGCGTTCTTTTTCCCCCGGGGGTATCGACGGATTTCGCTTTCGCCTTAATCGCGCGTGATTTACGAACGGTCGACAAAGGTCGAAGTAATTGTGACCGGATCGCCGATAAATCTATCGCTTTCCTGCTTAATCTCGATTTGTCCGCGGATAAAAAAAAGGGAAACAAAATAACAAAAAAATATGCTCGTACGCTAGCGCGACGACAGGCCGGATGAGAAATGTTTCACGAGCGGACGTCAAATCCATCGACAAACGAAATGTTGGCTGCTCGCCAGACCTGTTTGCCGTTCGAACGTTCCCGCCCAGTTCGCTGTTTACTAACTG